TTTGTTTTTAAGTTAAATCCAGAGAGATTGACAGAGGAACTGCTTTCCAGATCCATTTGGTCATGGGTTGAGCATTGCCTACACTGTTTCTATAATTCTGTTTAAAAAACTAGAAATGTAGGGCCCTCCCTGGTGGCGCAGCAGGTTAAAGTACAGCACTGAGAAGCTAAAGCCACTTCCGCATGAGTTTGATTCCCGCCTTCCCTGGAGGTGACCACATGGCGCGGCAGACCTCTCCTGGCCCGCTCGCTGCTCCCCTCAGCAGTGTACTTCGTTGATATGCCTGTTCTGCTCCCCACTCTGTCTCTGGTGAAGCCTCTCACCGCCCCTGAGCCTCTGGCCTGTACCCCAGCTCTGTATGCACAAATAAATAAAACTTAAAAAAAAAAAAAAAAGTAGAAATGTAGAGGCAAATGGTGAATTCCTTACTAATAAGAAATGCAGGGACCAAATGTAGCACAACTGGCAAAAGAGTGAGTGGCATGGCTAAGGTACAGTCTTTACTCATTAATTCACTTTTTTTTAAGATTTATTTATTATTTATTCATACAGAACTGAGGTACAGGCCAGAGATGTGAAGAGTGAGAGGATTCACTAGGGACAGAGTGGGGAGCAGTAAAGGCAGATTGCTGAAGTACACTGCTGAGGGGAGCAGCGGGCGGGTCAGGGGAGGTCTGCTGCGCCATGTGGTCACCTCCGGGGCAGGCAGGGGTGGAACTCATGCGGAAGTGGCTTAAGCTTCTCAGTGCTGTGCTTTAACCCACTGCGCCATAGGGAGGGCCTAAATTGCATTTTTTTTTAATTGTGAAAAAAATAAGTTTGTAGAACATGTATGAAGAGCTGGAAATACATATTTTTAACACAGCAGTGAGTATATCTTTTAATATTAATACCTGAAAGGCAAATTCTAATTAAGGACTGTGCAGTTTTTTTTTTATTGTTTTTTTTATCTTTTGGGGAATGAAACTCCAAATTTTGTGTCTGACATAACAGCTGAGTCCATTGTAACCGTCAGTAATTGGTTTTATGTTAAACTACAAGTGTTGTATAAATTTTAGCAACTCGGCTAAATAGGTATTAACAAGCCCTAGGATCCAACCACAATTTGTAACATCATTCCTTTGGGAAAATGGATACTAAGTGCTCAATAACAAACTTACAAATAGGCTTTTGGGTCATAGTCCATTTGAGAGTAAGAGGCTGTTTGCCATAGTAATACCTTCTATTGGCTTGCTTGAGAACTGCACAGGAGGGACCTATATTTTGCCACACGTGTGGTGAACGCAGCAAGTCTGGGTTTGATCAAAGATTATTGCTGAGTCGGCATTGAAAGTGTAGGAATTAAAAGTCTACAGTGGAGACAACTCAAGGGTAGAATAGGAAGGGTGGATCTGAAATTGTTTTAGTGATGGGAATGTTTTCAATCTCAAAGGTCAAGTGTGAATCTCAGCGGATTAAGTGAGGGGGGTCTCTGGATGGAAAAACAGGTAAAAAGGGAAAGTAGAAGTATAGAAAGTGAAGACAAAAAGCTAGGGTATGAGGAATAAGTAACTGTTAAGGAAAAAGCAAGTCAAAATCTGCCAGGAAGTCTGAATAGAAGAAGTGTCAATGATTTATGTTTAGAATAAGGATTTAGATACAGCAGTTCATTTATGAATTTATCACATTTATTGAGCATCTGCTATGAGTAACATAATCAGAGGTTGGCAAAAGAACTTTCTGCATTCATCAAATTTATAACTTAGCATGATTCTAGCCAACCACAAAAACGAACTAGAGTAGTGTAGGGCATGATAGTGGTAATTCCTAGAATCTGCCCAAAAGGAGAATATTAAGTTATCATTATTTCATTCTGTATTTTGTGTATTTTCTGCCCTAATTATATTGTAAGATTTATGGAGATGGGGGAGAGATAAGCAACATAGAACATGCTTTTTTGGTATTATTTTTCTAATCACCATGGGATCATGGTGATGAACTCTATTTTAGCTGGTTATTCTAATAGGTTGGACTCCTGCAATTTTAATTAAGCTGTTTTTATGCACAGGAAAATTGTTGTTAATATACCATACTACTTGCCAGTATATGAGATTTCTTTCACTACTGAGGAATAAGTTAGTAATAGTTGGCATTCTCTTTGCCAGTGGAAGACTATGTAGTTTTCAGTTCGATACAACCCAAGTGTCACATTTGTTCCCATGTGCATCCCTGCTCCAAGATGTCTTGTCCTGCCCTCCCAACCCTGCTGTATATTGGTGACTTCCTCTCCTATGCTGCGTGTATATCTGTCACTGTAGTTACTACACCATAGCAGAACTTACGCCAGGTAGTATGTATGCTGGCAATGGTTTGGTTTGATCACTGTGTGTGCACCCTCTTGTAGCACAGTTCTCACATCTTTGCATCTTAATACCCAACATGATGCCAAGGAGTGTGCTGCATCACCACCAGGGTCAAGGAGTTGCCAGTTGTCTTAATAGCTCAAGTGAAATGTGTTCCTCTTGATTCTAAGATTACGATTCTAAGATTCTGGTTTGCAGAAGGCCACTTTCCTGCTGTGTCCTCACATGACTGGTAGGGGAGGCAGGTGAGGAAAGGAGGGAAGAAGCTCTCCTGTCTCTTCTTATAAAGCCATTAAGCCCATCTTGAGGGCTTCACCTTCATGACCTAATTACCTTCCAAAGGCTACACCTCCAGATATCCTCACATGGGGGATTAGGGTTTCAACGTAAGAATGAGGGGCAGCCACATTCAACTCATAATACTTTTTATGGTTCCACCTAAAAATGCTTCAGTTTGGCTTCAACCCATGTTTCCCAGGCCCGGTGGCTGTGACAGAGTAGAGGCTCTCCAAAAGGGTGGTCTTTTATCCTCTCCTCTGCCCCCGCCTGTTACTACTGCATTATCAGCCCTGTTCCTTTCCAGGTCCTCCCACTACACGGTTGTTGGGGGGATGGGGTAAGTTGTGTGCATCTTGGGAATATGGTTTTCTCTACTACCACAGATTTCTGCCCTTCATGTTCCCAGTGCTCAGATTTGCCTGGTGTCACCTCCCTGCTCATGCCTCACATACTGACTGTGACCACCTCACATACTGTGGGTGGTCAACTCCCTTGGGCTTTGACCACCTTGGGTTTTCACTTCTGGGCTCCACATCTCAATATGTTGATCCCTCAACCTTTTCTTCTGTAAGTCAATAAGGGAATTAGTACTAGTAAAGGGCTCTGGACTAGTCTGTGCCTCTATGACAGTGGCATGGATCAAACCTCCATACTTTTCCTCATCTTGGTGAAATAGTTCAGAGGATGTTTTTCTGTCATCAGTCCCTGGCAGGCACACTCTGAAGCACTGCACAGACCTGTCCGAGTTTCCTGGTTTCATACCCAGGCTGCCAAAGTGGGATTTCCCTAAGTGGGTGGAATTTGGTTTACACTATCTAAATTCTAAGGGCAGACTATTTGAACAGATTAAAAAAACCACACGGATGTTTTGAGATTCAGAATTATGCAAGTAAGAATCAAATGTATAAAGTTTTATTTGTAATAAAAGTAAGTTTAGCTTTTTAGTTTTAGAGAACTGCTCTATCTCTTTCTCATTTACATTGGCAAAGAAAGCATTGTCAGTGCTAACTATTCACTGTCTAAAGTAGCAGAATGGTGTCTTTTCTTTGCTATGGGAAATTCTTAATGAAAAAATAGTAGCAGGAGGAAGAAAAGGTTTTATTGAGTATTTACTGGGTTCCAAGCCCAGTGCTGGGCAGGTTCATTGATTAACTCACTTGCTCATGACAAAAGTATTCTACATACGAAAATAGCAGTTAAAAAAAATTCTCTAGCCCAAGTTCACAGGGTTAGTATGTGGGGAACAAGGGATGGGCCTCCGTTATCTGTCCACAGACCAGACACAAGACTAAATCAGCCCTTAAATACATCTTACTGATGTTGAAAATCTCTTGCTAGGAATGAACCTGAACAGTAAGACAAGAGACCCTGTTTATCACCCCGTGATGGTTGTGCATCTTCAGTTTAACTATGGGTGGAAGGATTCCTGTTCATTCAATGTATTTTTTTTTTCAGGCTGAAATTTATGTTATCCTATGATAAATTAAAAGTGAATGTAACTTAGTAACCAAAGGACAGTTGTCCAGACAGAATAATTTCAGCAGACTTTTGTGCTTCCTTGATTAACTCAAACCAGATTTTTCATTATGAGCCAAAATTGCATTCTTACATTTGAACCAGATATCATATTTATAGTCATAAATTCACTTGGAAAATCAGAGCATACCCCTCCTTATCATCTTAAGCATGGTTCTATGCTTTAATTCCATCTGAAAATAAAAATCATAGCAAGATAATTATTTAAACTGTTAGTAATGGTTTGAAAGTTATTGGCAATTTAATTGACTATGTATTTGCTATAACATGAAAAATTATTTCTTATTCTTACAATATATGAAGAGAAATGGCTTAATCTGAAGATTGCAACAGAAAATATAAACTAATAACTCGTGTATTATTTTTACATCCCCTGATTTCTTTTGGATTCTTTAAAGGCTGGTTTCTGCAAATTGAGAAATACTTGCCATTTAAGATCCAGCAATGTTATCTTTCCCCCAAAACACATTTATTAATATGGAGTTTCCTGTCTTATGGGCTCCAAAAATAATATGTATATAATGTACAGAGAGGGAAAAGACAGACTTGAGAACTACAGCAATGACAGCTCCAGTGGAGAAGAATTTGGATATTCTAGATCAGCAATAGACTGTGGACTATGTTATTATAAATATTAAAAGTAAACATCACCTGGGGATATTTTTGTTCATAAAATAGACCTAGAGTGTGGTCCATGGAAATTTTAATGGATCGATATAGCAAATTGAAGTCTGTTATTAATTTCAAGTAATTTATTTTTGTTTCTTTTTATAAAAAATTATGATCTTGACGTATAAACACACACAAATGTATCTCTTCCCCTACCCCTCACTCTTGTTGCAGGCAACAAGGGAAGCCATTACGCAGCACTGCACTGACCTTGGGAATTTGTTGGGCAAGGAGAATGACGTGGCCCTCATCATTGATGGCCACACTCTGAAATATGCCCTGTCCTTTGAAGTCAGGAGAAGCTTCCTGGATTTGGCGCTCTCGTGCAAAGCTGTCATATGCTGCAGGTAGGTATGGGCAGGCTGGGGTGTTTCACATTCAGGAACGTCTGTGTCCTGTGTTTATGTAAAATAAATCAATGCATAAGGATTCTAAGGGTAAAGTTGTTTAGTTGTGTTTTTTTTTTTTTTTTGTAGAAAGACAAAACTGGGCCTCCCTGGTGGCACAAGGGGTTAAATCTCAGCTCTATGAAGCAGCCACTGAGTCTGATCCCCTGCCAGGGAGCTGACCCACATGGCACATTAGGCCTCTCCTGTCGCACCTGCCTTTCCCCTCAGCAGTGTATTTCAGTAGACTCACCTGTTCTGCTTTCCACTCTGTCTCTGGTGAATCCTCTTGCTCCCACATCTCTGACCTACACCCCAGCTTTTGTATGCATAAATAAATAAAATATACCTTTTTAAAAAGGACAAACTATCGAAAAGACAAGTTTAGATGTTCATTTATGAATTTTGGTAGAAGGCAGCTAGTGGTTTTTACATTTTTGTTTATTGTCTTTGAGAAGCTAAAAGAAGAGCCACAGCCTCTGGTCCTTTTCACCATGGGGGGAAAAGGGACTCAGAGGATCCTTTCTATTTCTTCTGTGATTCTGCGGTTCTCTCTGTAGCCTCAGCTCTGTAGTCTCCTTCTAGGCTAGTTCTTAGTTTGCCTTAACCTTTTGTTTGACCTTTGTATATTCTCCCTATAAGGGACTCCAACCAGTATTTGCTTCTTCTTTTGACTTATTTCGCTTAGCTTAACCCTTTCAGTTCCATGTTGCCCTGTTTGCAAGAATTCATCTTTTTTTGATAGCTGATTCCATTGTGTATATATATATACCACATTCTTGATCACTCTTCTGTATATGAGATCTAAGCTTATCTCCATTGCTTGGCTATTGAAAGAGTGTTGCAATCAACTTGGGATGCATGTTTCCCTTTTGAGTTAGTTTCCCCCTCCCCGCCCCTTTGGGTAGAAACCTAGGAGCGGAAATGCTAGATTGTATGGCAGGTCTGTTTTTAATCTTTTGAATGACCTTCCTATTGTCTTACATTCTGATTGGACCAGTTTACATTCTCTCCAGCAATCCAATAAAGCTGCTCTTTCTGTACATTTTCGCCAGTACTTGTTGCTCCTGATCTTTTCTATATTATTATAAATATTAAAAGTAAATGTCATCTGGGGACATTTTTGTTCATAAATTAGACCAAGAGTGTAGTCCAGGGAAATTTTAATGGATCGATACAGCAAACTGAAGTCTGTTTTAAATTTCAAGTAATTTATTTTTCTTTTTATAAAAAAATTATGACCTTGACATATAAACACACACAAATACATTGTTGGTATCTCACTCTGGTTTTGCATTGCATTGCCCTGACCATAAGTGATGTTGGAAATTTTTTCATGTACCATTGGCCATCTGTATGTCTTTTGGAGAAGTGTCTATTTAACTATTCTGCCCAGTTTTTGATTGGGTAATGTTTTGTGTTGAATTCTTTTTTTAAAAAAAATCTTTATGCATAGAAAAACTGAGGCACAGGCCAGAGGTGCAAGGGGTGAGAGGATCCACAAGAGAGAGTATGGGGATCAAGACAGACAGATCTACTGAAAAACACTGCTGAGGAGAGCAGCTGGTAAGCAGGAGAGGTCTGCTGTGCCATATATAGGTTAGCTGCCTGGTCAGGGATAGAACCCAGGATGCAGTATTGATACTGTGATAGCACTGAGACTTAACCCTTATGCCACCAGGGAGGCCCATCGAGATCTTTGATACCAATCCTTTGTTACATGTATAACACACAAATATATTTTCCCATTTGGTAAGTTGTCCTTTTGTTTTAGTGTAGTTTTTTCCACTCTACAGAAGCTTTTAGTTTTGATGTAGTCATAATTATTTATATTCTGCTTTGTTGTCCTTGTGGCTGGAGATAAATCCACAAAGACATCTTTTCTTCATTAGATTTTTATGAAAATCTGGGAAGAATTTTAAGGTGGGCATTGTTACATGCCATTACTTCCTGGCTTATAAGGTCCAGTTCTGAAAGCAATTTGAAGTTTGGACAGAATTATAAAGAAACTACTATGAACATGAATAGCATCAATCTATCTTTGCAGTAAACAACTTGAAAAAAGGTGAGAGCTTTCCTTCTTGAAAGAACTGACTTCACAGCACCTGGCTCATGGCTCAATGCTCAAGGCCTGTTACTGGATTAATAATCTCATTTGTACCTGTTTTTACATTTTATGGTTACATAATTGTATTGTGTTCTTTCACATTTTCTATTATCAGACTGCATTAGTCCCCTAAGAATGCTTATTTTGGGTTTGAAAATAGTCATTTAGAAGAACCAGTTGTCACATTGAATGGTGGCCTGACTAGATTGCCATAGTGATACTGTCTGCCAGGTCTCTCTCCCTAGACATCTCAGAACACTGCCGATGAAGGATGCTCGGCCAGTCTGAGGGAATGCAGACTGGCCCCGCCTCAGGAAAACTGGCTCTTCCATGCTTCCGCATCCTCACCTCCTGTATCTTGCTATTGTCCCGATCTCTATTCTTAATTTGGAGCATGCCACCAAAGTGCAGGGAGAGGTGAACTGGCTACCTCCATGATGGAGAAAAATGTTATGTTTGTACTTGCGGTTGTAGGATGTTTAAGGGCCATGAAGGTGAGGTACAAATGCAGGTGTGCTTGAAACACTAAATAAAGACTTTGCTTTTCGTATAAGCTAGAAAACTGGATTCAACTATGAAGTAATCTAGGATAATGAGGGGTGATCAGGTTATCTGGAAATGAAGTGCAACCTTCTAGTTTAATGAGGGACTCCTCTTTAAAAAAAAAAGAAACATTGTTTTTAGGATATAACTCACTCATTTAAAAGTATATGGTGCAATTTAAAAGTATAAGCTTTGAGTATTCAGTTTTGTGAATACCACTATATCCAATTATAGAACATTTTAATTACATCTGAAAGTAACCCTCTTACCCATCATCAGTCAATCCCCTCCATCTCCACTCACTAACCACTACTGTGCTTTCCTATCTGCATAGATTTGCCTTTTCTCGAAATTTCACATGAATGCAGTCATATATGGTGTCCTTTTTCTGCCTAACTTCTTTCATGTAGTATAATGTTCCAGTGTTGAAGAATATATCAGTACTTATAGCCTTTCTATAACTGAATAATTCCATTGTATGCATGTACCACATGCTTTCTACCTGTTTTGATTACCATTTGAATTGTTAATGCTTTTTGGTTATTAGAGGTTATACTGGCATAAAGGCTCATAGACAAATTTCTGTCTGGCCATGTTTCATTTCTCTTGAGGGAGCAGAAATGCTGGGTCAGCTGGTCACCCTTTGTTTAACCTCTTGAAGAACCATCAGACTTTTCCTAGGTGGCCATACCCTTTTATGTTCCCACCAGCAAGAGCGTTCTGTTTCTCTACATCTACACTAACACTTGTTATAATCTGTCTTTTTGATTGGTCAACCTAGCCAGTCTGAGTGCTAACCCATTTAATTTGTACTTGCATTCCCTGGATTACTAAAGATAACCATAGTGGTATATCTTCTTTAGGAGACACAATGTAAGTCTTTAAGTCTTGCACATTTTAAAGTTAGATTTATCATTTTAGTATTGATTCGTTAGGAGTTCTATCACATACATGGTTTACAAATAACTTTCCCCCATTCTTGTCTTTTTATCTTTCTGAGGGTGATATTTATAGCACAAAATATTCTAAGTTAGATAAAGTCCAATTTATATGCTTTCCTTTATCCCTTGTGTTACAGTCTAACATGCTTTCCTTTTTAATTGGCTGGTCCTATGCTTTATTTCCTGGGTTCAATTTGGGTAATTTAGTCTAGGGATATGCAAATGGAAACCAAAGGCACATGTGAATAACAGCGGTAGAAAGACAAGTGGTGAAATAATTTCTTATAATTTCCCCTTGTGTCACTGTGGTACAGTGGCCGAGCAGTGGTCCCTGGTTTTCGTGAAGAGGTTGTTCCTGTCCTACCTAGAGCTCTGAGTTACTGTCAGGCTGGTCAAGTCCATCACGCTGGCTGGTGGTGAGCAGAAACAAGCCCCACAAACCTGCGGAAAGCATGGTCAGCTGCACATCTAAGCCAATGTGCTACATAACTTCATGGTTTTTCAAAAGGAAATCAGAACGAGTCCGTTTGGATCTCTGTGAGCAGCCAGGAACACCTTCAAGGCTTTACAGTAACATGCTCTTTTCTTGCCAGGTGCTTGATGCTAAAGAAAAACATCTTTTTCCTCTTCTTACTTTGGCTGCTGTCAGAGTGCTTTGTGTGTCACATAAGGCTGTACACTTAAAGACTTCACAGGAAGGAGTTCAAACTAGAACTGGCACAGAAAGAGGAAATTTCAAATTAAATACTGTTACTGTCTACAAAATAGAAGCACTAATTGAAAAAAGGAGTCTAGGATAGTGCACTACTTTACTGCTCTTGGAGACATTTCTTGGCTGTTCTCACACTTGATTTGAAAAATAATCAGCACATATTTAAAAAAATCAAAACACGTGTACACTTCAGATGTGCTTCCTAATCATTGAGATTTTAAACTGAAGTAAAATTTAACATGTGATTTGAAACATACACTTGATTTTGGTTCTTATTTTTCATCTTTAAAATAGAATGGTTGTAAAAGCTACCCTTCAATAATACTCATCTTTTCTTCAGAAAATAACTTTTCAGTGAAGTCATGAAACATTTTCTCTCATCAATATTGATATAGAGACCAGTGAAAGTTGTGTCAAAGTGGATAATATTTTTAAACTAAAATGATAATTTAATAGCAAAAAGGACAAAGATGTAACAATTGGTTATCTGGCTGATATTAGAATAAAAACAATGTTGCTAGTATATATTGTGATATCCAAATATATCCCATGTAGTTTAAGTCCTGCACTGGTTGCAATCAGTCAGAATTACTAGTCAGTACTTTGCTGTTATTTTCATTGTATCTTCAGGAACATTGTCACATTATTTGTTGGGGTA